GACTAGTAGCTTCAAACCCCAAAGCATTACCCACTAGATCACAGAGATACGATAGCCACTTTTTGTGCGATTGGTATACTTTTAGTATTATTGCTTGTATTATACCATCGTTGATTGGACCACTCGCTGAGAGGTAGATACATCCAGTTGACGAGTTCCAAATACGACAAAGGGCGCATCCTGGAGTCTACTGCTAGCCACTTTCCATCATTACTTTGTAGAATTAAAACATAGGCGTTATCGAGGCGTCTGCAGAAGAGCCTATATGCCAATAGAGACTGATCAGTTCAGTCCAATCAACAACGGTGTAACACAAGCAATAATACTAATGACCGTACATTATCATTCATTGATACTAAAGTGACTGATAGAACAATACGAAATACGGGAAGCGCTACTAACGCGGTGAGATACTTAGATTGGATACGAATAGTGACTGTTCTTCCTCAGATCTGATACTTCACTGAGATATGAAGATCAGAAGACAAAGACCAGCCGGTAACTGTAACAAAGACAAGTTTATTTGACAAAAGACACATTATGTGCTTATAGTTTTCATAAACATAAAACCACTAGGTCAAAATTTAGATGTTTATTTTGATTGGTCAACTGTAGGACAAAGCTATCCAATAAGGTTTTTTCGTGACCACACAGTAATATGAAACAAGGTTGAAATCTAAAACTTCTACCTTAGCTGCTGATAACTTAGGATGTTGATATAGGATGGTGATATCTAATAATGGAATTAAGAACGTCAACTTAGTGAATCGTCAGTCAATATTAAGCTATCCACCCAGGACCTTATATGCTAAGGCAGGTAGTTTAATTTAATCCAGGGTAACAACGAAAACTTCTATTATTTGATACACAAGACGTGATCCACTGGTCTGGTGGACAATGCTTTAACCTTTCAAACGATCGGCCCTCACTTTGACTTCCATTGAGAGAGTAACGTCACTCACTGGGATATAGGCGCAGCCAAATTATAAGTCAGAAATTTTGACGAAACGTGTATGTATATGCGTAAAGAAGAAGATATACAGATTTGAACAAGATGTTTTATATTTTGACTAGATTGAATGTTGTCCAGGAAAATGTATGAGGCCTTCTTCATTAGGAATTTCTAACGTTATACAGTGTATATTTTTATTATTATTTTATTAGTCCCTTGGGTTCCTAGTGGAACATAGGGCTTCAGTAGCACGTCTGCAGTAACCTCTGTTCTCTGAGATCTTTTGAACCCGGTTCCACGACAGCCCACAACCTCTCATTTCCTCTTCGCACGACCTCCTCCATGTCACCCTTGGACGTTCAACTCGTCGCTTCCCATCGGGATTCCACTCGAGCAACTGGCCTGACGCGTGATGTCCCCAGTCGGCCTTCTCAGTGTATGTCCAATCCATCTCCACTTCCGTCTACATATATGTTGAGCGATAGGTTCTTGGTTGGTTCGTTCCCAGAGCTCCTTGTTGCTTATTCTCACTATTCTGGCCATCTGATCTTCAGTAGCGAGCGTAAGCAGTTGTTGATGAATGTCTGTAGTTTATTGGAAATCCCTTTCGTGACGTGCCAAGTCTCTGAACCATACAGAAGCACTGACTTGACTGGGTTGGTGTTGAAAATCCGTATCTTGTTCCACATGCTGAGTGCAGAAGATCTCCACACTGGTTTCAGGTTAATGAACGCCTATCTTGCTTTTCCGATGTTATACAATGTAGCTTCTTGAATTCAGGTTCTAATTTAAACTGTTAGGAATTAAATGTATTGGATTGCATATATATTTTCAGTCTTTATTTTAGGTGTATTCTAGGTGTCTGTTTAAGAATTATTTTGAAGGGTTTTACAACAAAATGTTGCTTTCTACCATTAGTTATTTCTCACTATTGTTCATGTTTACCGCTACACTGTTTATAGGGAAGTATTTTGACCTCATCTACTGCTGTTCAATGTTTCAAGTTGAGGTGGAGCAGAGTTACTGACTGGTTTAACATCTCCTCAGATTACCTTTATCTCTTCTAGTCTTACAGAAAGTCAATTACGGTTCAAATACCTCAGTGGTAACGTCTGTGACTACAGCACTGAGTTGTTATGATGAGGAGTTGTGAGAATGAACAGAAATACTTAACGATTGGTAGTCGAGAGTTGAGACGATACAACCCGAGTGATTCGCAAAGAGAAATCAAGAGACTGGAAAGCGGATAAGTTATAGTATCTCGGACTGAAAACTGTTATGGGTTAAAATGGACCCTATTTATAGAGTATACAGTAACCTTGAAAGACAAGGGATAATTAGTACATTCAAAGAGGCAGGAGCCAATCAGAACAACAGCGGGTCATACGAAATATGATCTATGCGCGGGAAGAAGAACACAAATAAACCAGTTCAAAAATAGGGGATGCCGGCATCCCTAACGTGAGTAATACGGATTAGGATCTTAGAAGGAACATCAGTCCCATATAGCTTGCAAATACACCTTGCTGACCAATTTCGAAAGCGACGAAACCTACCTCTCGACTGGCTTCTTGTCGATAACTTCCAACCAAATAACACTATGGTCTTTTCATACAAAGAATAACAGAAGTGTAGATTAAGTAATTTTAGAAAGCGTTCAAGTGAAACTTACCACTTCTTCAAGATCTATTTAATAATGGCTTAAATAATTGGTCACAGAATACTGCGAGAAACGTTTTTCCCATCGGTCTATCTAACGACTTGATGTATAGACTTTTACCTTGATTTTAGGATAATAAGATACACAAAGTTATAAGAGAAGTGCGCTTTGAGGCAATTTATTGTGTAAACTTCGTTATTGCATAATTTATAACTTTGTATAGGTTTCTATCAAATTTTCATGTTGAATGTGGCAGGATTCGAACAAGCAACTTATGACATTCTAGCCTAGGTATTCTACCAACTAAGCTATGAAATTCAACTGCCGATAATATGAATTTTTGATGTTGTACAATTACTTGATTGTGATCATATTGGATGCCGAATTAGAACTTCTTATCTCAAACCAAATCTACCTGAATTAGAGAGGAGGCAGCTATGTAATGATTATTAATTTCATTCTATAGGGATGTATTTTCGCTTGTGTAATCCCGGCGTAGTACATTAGAACAAATAACAGAATAAAGAAATATTTTGTATTATTCCTCAACGTTTCGATCTTGTTAGGAAGATCCTTTTCAAGAGAATGAATCTGACACTAAGTTTGGTACACGTTTTGGTACACAAAGTGGTAACCTTTACAATCATCCAATTACATAGTGATATGGAGCAAAGATCAATTTAATACAGGTGAGTGAATAAGCAACTCGGTCAGAGAGGTTTTTCCGTTGTGCGAGTAAGGTGGAACAAAAAAATAGGGTGGGGAAATTTTTTAGTTCATCTATGAAAAAGTACAATGGGGTTGTGAGACATCAAGGGTGAGAAAGAATAGATTACTAGTTTGGAAGGATGAATATTTGAAGATGAGACAATATATCTTAAATACATAATAATAATAATAATGAATAACAACTTGAAATATTTCCAAATCTCCACAACCCCCTCAAAATTTAATTGAACTAGTGCTCGTTGGTGACTAGCTTCGAGAAGTATTCCCGAAGTTCCAATGACAAGTCGTGACCGGTGGAGTCAAGCCTGATGGCCGTGAGGACAAATACTCAACGATGACATTGGGTGGCGGTTTGCGCTATATCGTGAGCTAACAGAAGTTGGAAATATGGAGCATTGGATTCTGACCCAGTGGCTCAATGGTAACGCGCTGGTCGCGGAACCTGAAGGTCGCGGGTTCGATCCCTGCTGGTGGGGTCGTGGGTGCGCACTGCTGAGTAGTCCCATACTAGTTGGACGAAACAGCTGTCCAGTGCTCCCAGGTTTCCTTTGTTCCTCCAACTGATGTCAGTCTTCGATGAATAACAACTTGAAATAATGATAACCATAAATGTACTTTTGATAACACTTGAAGTGATAAAAAAATGGATTATGTTATGGTTCATCGAATGTATATGACTCAGAGAGTAGTGTAAAATTGATGAAAATAGTAGATCAATAAGGTGTATGTAATAGGACTAAACAATCTACCTTCTCTACAGATATCATTTATAACTGCCTAGGCGAGTCATTAATGTTTGCCATATTAGTGGGATGTCTAACCCATCTTTTCTGTTGACCGAAGAAAGATATGAGCAGATGTGCAAAGCTTCTGCAATGGTCCGCTCTTTGTGAGAGAGAAAACCCTTTTGCAGAACTTTTGTCTGTTCGAATGATATTTTATGACCTGAATATAGGGCATGAGCTGCGATAGCAGAGCTTTTTTTCAAGTTTTTCTAGATCATAGGAATTTTTTGGTGGTTTTTTGGAACTTCTACCGTGTTCGGCTAGACGTGTTAGTACTTGACTTGATGTCTCTCCAATAAATGTGGCATCGCATTCACTGCAGTCTACCTTATAAACACAGTTTTGTTGTTCCAAATGAAGAATCGGATCTTTTAATTTACACAGGTGTGAGTGTAATGTATTCGTCACATTAAAGAATACTCTGATGTTGTAACGGTTAAGGATACGTCTTATTTCCTTTGAAGTGGATGTTCGATAAGGAAGTATTATAGTACTTATCCAATCTTTATGGCTTGACTTTTTCATATTTTTATTCAATAAACTTTTTTCGATCCTCTTTAATAGTTTGTCTGGATAGTTATTTAGTCTTAAGACTTCCCGAACAAGTCGTCTATACAATGAATCATACTAGCTCGGTGCCCAAGTTTTTTCAAACTATCCAGTCCATTGTTAGCCAGGATACCTTCAAAGATTATTTATTTATCTAATTTATTGGAATTGATAACATAATGTTCTTAGTGTACTCTGTTTCCTATTTTTCATATTATTTTCAATTTATTCACTTTCTACGATAATTTGGTTATATAACTTACAATTCTGTATCATTATATACCTTTGCTTAGCTCCGATTTGTCTCTCATATTTTTCTATTTAGGCGCTGATGTTAATCACTCAGATTTAGATGGTCGTACTGCTTTACATGTGGCTGCATTCTGTGTACAAAAGTCAGATAAACATTCAGATATTGTTGCATGTCTTTTAAATCATGGAGCAAATCCTAATTTACCAGATAGTGAAGGTGTTACTCCTTTACTTGGTGCATCGAATACTGGTAATTATATGGTTTGTGAATTATGTCTTGAATCTGATGCCGATGTTAATATGACTGATAAGTAAGTTTTTTGTCGTTTCCCCACAGTTGATTATCTTCATAACTTCATCATAATCTGGAGTGTAGATATCATTCACTAGTAGTGTTCAAATATACTAGCATAACTCATGAACTTATAGGTATAAGTAATCAAGTGCCTGAAATGTCGAATAGAAAGCCCTAACATCTGTCGGCTTCAGAACTCACTTTATGCAGTTCTATAATTGAGAATGCTAACTCTGTTTTATACCACTGATTTTAGAGCTGGTAACCAAGTCATTTGATACATTCACAAAAACGGTCACCGGTCACATGTGAAAACAGATTCGTGTGAAACTTTTCAACCGAAGTTTAATTAAAACGATGTCTATATAACATTATTATTAGTAGTAGTCTCTTGGGTTCCTAGTAGAATATAGGGCTTCAGTAGCATGTCACCATTTCACTCACTCCTCTCCAGTCTTCAAAACCTCACTCAAACAATACCCATTACCTTCCATTTCTTCATCATCTCAAACCTCGTCTTGTCACCGACGCCGAACTCATCGTTTCCCATCTGGCTTCCACTCAACAACCTGGCCTGACGCGTGATGTCCACAAAACGTCTTCTCAATGTATGTCCAACCCAACCAAATCCATCTCCACATTCCTCTTACGCTTACTTGTTGGCCAACAGGTTCTCAGTTGGTTGGTTCATTGCCAGGCCAGCCACAGTGAGTTCCTCATTGCTTATTCTCATTACTCTGGCCATCTGATCTGATATTCAGTATCGAGTGAGGGTGGATGGCATGTGTTGATGATGTGTGTGTGCAGTCTGTTGGAAATGCTTTTGGTAAGGCGCCAAGTCTCTCAACCATCACATGGAAGCACTGACTGACTGACTTGACTCAATTAGTGTTGAAAATCTCGATCTTGTTCATGACTTGTGCTGAGTGCAGTGCAGTGCAGTGGAATTGAGTTGAGTTGAGTTGAGTTGAGTGGAGTGGAGTGGAGTGGAGTAGATCTCCACACTGACTGATTTCAGATTAGTGTAGGGAGGCCTTTCTTGCTGTATTTCTGATGGTGGCTTTGACATCCTAATGTATGCCTGTGTCATCTGTATTTGAGAGGATGTTGCCTATGCAGGTAGGTAGGTAGGTAGGTGAAAGATAATTTGGTTTATATTTCTCCTGTCGACGGTGATTTGTTCTTATTGATGTTGTTGTTGTTGTTGGTTGGGTATCTTCATCACTTCTGTCTTCTCTACGTTCACCTGAAGGAATTCCCGTCTTCACCTCTTCTGCTTACTTGTTATTATTACTTAAACTAGTGTCACAACCTTTTCATACTTATGATATTTGACCTTTCATTTTCATATATAAATTGACTTTAGACAAGTAAATGTGTGGTGGATCAGATTGTTCGAAATGTGTATTGCGCAAATACACACACACACACACACACACACTGTTCAGATAGTCTGCATCTTCTAATAGCCTTATCGAAGTTTCCTAAATTGCTTTCAAGAAACTGTTACCTATCTCCAGAATGAAGTTAGAAGTTAGAATGGATGTTCAAAGGTTCCATCATTTAGTAACTTTATCTTGTACCGAATTAGACAAGTGTTGGAAAAAGCGGATATTAAATTATAACATTATGGACAGATAGTAAGATGGCTAACTTCAGGTCAGTTAGTCTTTGACCTCATTATGTATATGGGGCACGAAAGAAAGAATTACCTTATTACTACTATGATAAGGAACTCTTTGCAAATGTAAAATGCTTAACTTGTTGTTTATTGATATGTGTAATTTACCGTCGAATTGCTTGACTTTTGTTAGCAGATAGGCTCTTATGTGGTTGCCTCGATACTGTCTAGATACTCGTTATATTGTAGTTTATTTGATAGGTAACAGTAGAATCCAAGACCCGTGTTTCGTCCTATTTGGGACTCGTCAGTCGGACTTACTTTCTTACGACTGACTAATGTTATTTCCACTGAGACTGGAACCTAGTGTTCAGTATACCTGTGATAAATAACAATCTAGCGTATAACGCTTTGGTGTTTTAAGCAATGAGTACTGAGTCTCAGTGGGAACAAAATCACACAATGGGGTGAAGATGCCTCCAGCTTATCAGTCTCAAATAAGGCGAAACGCATATCATGGATTCCACTACTAGTCATCAAATCGACTAAAATGCTTAACATCTTGATTATTATTATCCAATCTATCTTTTCTTTCTTTTTTCTAATCTGATATTAGATCTGGACGCACACCAGTCATGTTAGCTGTTCTAGGTGGTTATACTGATGTTGTACGTTTATTATTATTTTGGGGTGCTACTGTTGATATTATGGACTATGCAGGACGTTCTTTATTAAGTATTGGTGCACAAATTAAAAATTCACAAATTGTACAAGAATTACTTGCACGTGGATTAGATGAAGCGCATAAAGATCATTCCGGTTGTACACCATTACACTTAGCTGTTGAAAGATATACTGTTGAAAATGAATTAAATGAACAAGAACAATATGAGGAAGAAGTGATACGGTAAGTTATATTTATTCAAAGTTAACTTTAAGATTTATAAAAATGAGTGTAAATATGAAAAAGTAAGATTCCTTAACCGGTATACACCTGCGTGTAACATTCATAATTATATTAAACTACTATGAAATAAATAAAATCTTCATTCAACTGAAGGTATATTACTTTATAGTCATGATTACTGACATACTTCAAGATGGTTATCTCGAAGTCCTAATGTTAAACAGTAACCTATGGGGTCAACCAGTCGGAAGTGAAGCGGATGCCGAGTGAAGACTTTGGTTGATAGCCAAACTCTACATTAGGTTGAGAGAAGTAGGAAACTGTGTGGTAATATATATATATATATATATATATATATATATATATATATATATATATATATATATATATAAAGACAAGGGTAGATGATAAAGATATCCAAACAACAACAACAACAACATCAACAAGCATCAGTCACCATTAACGCAAGAAATATAAACTAAGTTGTCACTTTCACCTGCATACCCACCAAACTACCTACCTACCTACCTACCTACCTACCTACCTACCTACCTACCTACCTACCTACCTACCTACCTACCTACCTACCTACCTACCTACCTACCTACCTACCTACCTACCTACCTACCTACCTACCTACCTACCTACCTACCTACCTACCTACCTACCTACCTACCTACCTACCTACCTACCTACCTACCTACCTACCTACCTACCTACCTACCTACCTACCTACCTACCTACCTACCTACCTACCTACCTACCTACCTACCTACCTACCTACCTACCTACCTACCTACCTACCTACCTACCTACCTACCTACCTACCTACCTACCTACCTACCTACCTACCTACCTACCTACCTACCTACCTACCTACCTACCTACCTACCTACCTACCTACCTACCTACCTACCTACCTACCTACCTACCTACCTACCTACCTACCTACCTACCTACCTACCTACCTACCTACCTACCTACCTACCTACCTACCTACCTACCTACCTACCTACCTACCTACCTACCTACCTACCTACCTACCTACCTACCTAACTACCTGTATACGCAACATCGTCTCAAATACAGGTGACACAGGCATACATTAGGATGTCAAAGCCACCTTCAGAAATACAGCAAGAAAGGCCTCCCCACACTAATCTGAAATCAGTCAGTGTGGAGATCTACTCTACTCCACTCCACTCCACTCCACTCCACTCCACTCAACTCCACTCAACTCAACTCAATTCCACTGCACTGCACTGCACTCAGCACAAGTCATCATCTTTATTTGCTGCTCCTTCAGTCTTTCTAATCGATGTACATCCATTTTTAACATCTCCATTGCCATGTGTTATATATTCCAAACGTATATAATACCCAAGCTTAACTAATGGCTAACTTCGTACGCAAGAGCCACCGACTGCAAGTTGGGACGAATAAAGAAGAAGACTGAAGCTGGATAAGAGAATTTACTTACACTAACAATGAAGGGAAGACAAAATTATGCAATACAACTTCGAGTTCATTAACAGAAAGGATATTCATCATGAATGTCTATAATAGTCCATTCAAGTTAATTTTACGTTTGTGGATCATATGCATTCTATCGAAGCTATGGGTATCGTGCAAGAAATACCACTTACTGAGACTCAGGTACATCCAGCTGATGGATCTCAAATAGGACAAAACGCTCTTTCTCAATTCAGTATGCATATATTGGCAGTTCAGTGGAAAAACTTTATCTATGTTCTGAGTCATCAAAAGAAAAATTTTATTGAATTTCGACTTGATTAGTATACTTCCAGTAACTCTTAGTGTAGTTACTTTCAGTTTCTTGTTTTTTTTAACAGTTTTGAATTGACATCCAGATAGATATATTTAGCAATTGGCTTTCCTCATTCAGTTTATTAGGAATAAGGCCAAGAACCCTTTGTCCTTTGGGTCGAATCTTAATGTAACGCATATTCTCTTAGTCCCATTCTTCTTCTAAATAGTAATAATATCTGTACACTTTTATTGTTCAGCTTGTTACTAGACGCTGGGGCTAATATAGAAGAAATTGATAATTCTGGTCGTACCCCATTGCTTGTAGCTTGTGAAACGAATAATATGATAGCTGTAAAAACTCTTCTTAATCATTCAACTAATGATCCATTGAGTTGTAGAAGTCCAACTCATTCTAGTTCATCTGGATCTCGACAACAATTGAATACAAATCCTTCGTATGGTCATTTGTCACAAGTTATACATCCAGTTATAAATATTTCATCATATGATGGTCAAACACCATTGAGAGCAGCAGCATTCAATAGGAATCAAGAGATGGTTAAACTTCTTCTGTCTTATGGAGCTGATCCAGATCATCAGGTATCAGAAAATTATATTTCTTTATAATTTAATTTTATGCTACATTATGCTTATTATTGTTTTTATCCCATCTGTATTTTGTTTATCAACATATTTCATTTTCCGATCTGTTGTATAGAAATATGTAACTTGTATGATATATGGACTTTTTCTATGGATATTTGAATATTATTCATCATTGAGGTTAGAATTATTTTGATTATGGCTAGTTTCAACTTTAGGAAACATAATAATAGACAAACTTTTATATGATGGGCTCGTGTGCGGATGCCAATAAAGACCGATCAATTTGGCCCAATCAACGATGGGATAATACAAGAAAAAAAACCCTAAAACTATACTAGTCGCACAAGAAATGTCTGTCGTGACTAGCTGGTCTAGTGAATAAAGCTATGAAGTTGGAAACGATCGGTCTCAAGTTCGAGTCCGGTAGGAACAACATAACTCACTAGGGGGGGGGAGGGGAGGTGCATTCATCTGGTAAGCCCTAAATAGGACAAAATGCGTATCCTGGATTCCATTGCTAGCCACTATCCATCATTAATATAAAAATTGGTTCCTATTGTGTTAGGGTACAGGATACTGCCAAAACTTCGGTTGGTTGACTGAGGTTGAAACCTGCGAAGTTCATTGCCTAAATCAATGGACCACAAAAAAAAACCCAATGAAAATATCTCAACTGAAGTAAATTGTAATCGACTTGTAGTAAGATTATTATTATTATTATTATAACGCAAACATGGTACTGCAAGGGTGGCTACCAAGAAATGCAACAATAACAGGGTGGAGATATACACGACGGAAAGGGGATAAGTAAGAAGGGAAAATAAAAAGAATAGCATGATTAGAAGGTCAATTCAGTAAGGTATATTATAAATAAAACATTACTTTTCAGCAGCCAAAGGTCCCGATTCTCAGCCATATCTGATCATGTCTCAAGCTACTGAGTTACATAATCTTTCGGACCACTTCCAGGGAGTCGTGATAAACTATCCTTTATATCATGGCGCCATATCCTACTCCGACCACCCGTCCATTTCTTCCATCCACTCTCAAGGCTAGCAAACAATGAACGGTTTGGAAGCCGTTGGGACGACATGCGTAACATACATCCAAGCCACCAAAGAAAGGGTTTTCAGATGACTTCACCTATTGAACAACGATCTCCATTATGCTGAAACACATACTGTCCTACTTCAGAATTACTGACATAGTGTTGGTTGGTACTAATTTTGACATTAATCACACACTATTGCTGCTTTGGATAGCGACCAACCAATGTCAGATGTATAGTTCGACAAATATAGTTGAAGTTACCTCCTCTGAAAAATTTACAAAATATACTCAAAATCTTGACGAAATATACTACTGTGTAAAACAAATTGAGTAGTAAAACAGTACACAGACTAGTGAATCTGTATTAGGGAGATTGGAGGGATGACCGTTTTACTCCTTTTGGGGTCGAGTTCATCAATAGTATACCCAGATAAATTCAGCTGATACAGTTGGCATTCAGGTCAGTCAGTCAGCAATCAACAGATGTATAGACAAAGACCCGACCCATCAACTAATAAGAAAGATGATAAATGACAGAAAGGTTAGAGGTGAAGCAGACGAACAGCCAACAGGGAAGTCTATACAATCAATGACACAACAATCGAAGGAAACAACCAATCACAGACCACATAGTCAGAGCAAGCTACTAAATCACTGACGGAGAGATATTGACAGCTCACTACTTCATATTGAAGTTAATGCTGATGATGTCATCTAGCAAGGTGATGAAAACTTCACGATTAAACGACCCAGGTGAGAGAACATAATACAACCAAGACCATCCACCTGAGCTACAAATATTCTCCATTATTTCATTAATTAGTTCATGACAATTTTATATCAAAGATTACACCTTTTGATTTTGGTTAGGTAGTTTTCAACGGTAACACACCACAGTTGAACAGTTGATAGATTTCCCATAATTCTTTTTTATTGTTAATCTTTTATTATAGTTGTTAATACTTTTTTAGTTGTCATGCTAATACTTTATTTTTCTTTGAAATAAAAGGATACCTATGGTCGAACTACTTTATATATGCTTGCCTTAGAAGGTCAACTAGATATGGCTGATTTACTTTTACATTGTCCATCTCCTGGTGCATTATCTCGTCCTGGATCAAGTCGATTAATTGGTGCTAATCCAATTCTATCAGATGATGAAGGACGTTTTCCTTTACATGTAGTTACATGGCTTGGACATATTGATTTTGTTCGTCTACTTTTACAAGTAAGTCAAAGATTAGTTGAAATATGTTATGAATAATTTTATGACCCAGTAGATTACTATATGAATGAGAATAAATGTATAACTTATACTATTATTTGTCCCCTAGGTTCTTAGTGGAACACAGGGCTTCAGTAGCATGTCTCCATTCCACTTTATACACTCCAGTCTTTTGAACCTGGCTCCAGGACTGCCCATCATCATCATCATTATCAACATAGGACCAGGCATTACTGCGTAACGGTCCGAGTTGCCACACCTCATATCAACACATCAAGTAAAAAGGTAGTGAGGTGAAGGATGAAGATAAGTGAATGCAGTCAAAAGAAATATAAAGTACGAGAAGAAGGGAAAGAGGAGTGACAAAATGGTGAGATTCGGCATAGCGTTGTTAAGATGAGGATAATGTGTGTATACATCTGAGCCACTGACTTCGGTTCTGAGCCATATCACCTAGGGTCTCCAACCACTGGTTCCTCTTGTCCCGTGGACCCCAACCACCTAGTCTGCATCGTCCTATATTGCTTAAACCAACAGTCAGAGACTTCATACATTGGTGCTATGTTTTAGTCTGGCCACCTCGGGCCTTTTTCCAGCCTGGACCCACCTCAGCCAACATTGTGTGACGAGGCAATCGGTGACCAGGTGTAAGTACCACATATCCCAACCATCTCAGTCGATGAAGGTTCACAACCTCGTCGACTGACTTACCTCTTCTCTCCAAAACTCTACACCTAACTTCTGCATTACTCACATGCTGACACCACGGAATACGTCCTATATTACGAAGACAACGGTGGTCAAACACCTGAAGCCTTTTTGTATCCTCCACTTTCAATGGCCATGTTTCACAGCCATATAGTAGAACAGAGCGGACTGCTGTGCAGTACACGCGACCCTTAATAGACAAACGAATATCACGGCGGCGCCATAGGTGGCGTTAATTGGCAAAAGCCAATCGAGCCTTTTGTATCCGTGCAGAAATCTCATCGGCAACTAACCCACCGGGTTGATCCTACTTCCCAGGTAAGTGAAGTGGTCAACACACTCAACCACTTCACTCTCTATTGTTAGCGGCGGTACCGCTGAAGACCAATCCTGGAGCAAACATTTGCATATGGGTGGTGAAAATCGCATCCCATACATTCTCAAATTCCCACTCAAAGGACTGCCCAGAAGCTCTCAATTCTTTCTCACATAATCTCTTCCATGCCACTCTCGTCTCGGACGCCCAACTCTCCGCTTCCCATCTAGGTTTCACTCGATGGTTTGGCCTGGGGCGTGATGTCCCCATTCGGTCTTCTCAGTGTATGCCCAACCCATCTCCACTTCCTTCTGAATATTTGTTAAGCGATAGGTTTATAGTTGGTCCGTTGCCAGAGTTCCTTGTTGCTTTTTCTCATTATTCTGGCCATCTAATCTTCAGCAACGAGCGTAGGCGGTTGTCGATGAATATCTGTAGTTTGTTGGAAGTGCTTTTCGTAACACGTCAAGTTTCTGAAAATCCGTATCTTGTTCCACATGCTGAATGCAATAGATCTCCAGACTGATTTCAGTTGAAGGTTGTCTTCCTCTTCCGATCCTGGCTTTGACGTCTTCGCCTGTGCCGCCTGTAGTTGAAACGATGCTGCCTAGATATGTGAAGGAGGCTACTTCCTTTAGGTTTCTCCCGTTGATGGTGATTGCAGCTTGTTGTTGTTGGTGGTGGTGGTTGGGTATCGTCATCAACTCTGTCTTCTCTACGTTCACTTCGCTACCCTGCCTCTTCAGACAACTTGTTAATTTTCGCCTGTAGATCTTTGAGTTTGTGCGACGAGAAATTAGACATAAATCATCATCGTTGGCGAAATCTAAATCTTCTAGGCTCTTTTCATCGGTCAACCAGCTTATGCCCATCTTCTCGCTCCTAACGGTTTGTTGCATGATCTAGTTCAGTCGGCCACAATCAGGAAGATCATGGGTGATAGTTGGAAGCTTTGTCTTACTTCTCTCTTCACTTCAAAGGTGTCACTGAGCCTTTCATTGTGAATCACTTGGCGTGTACCATCATATAGCATATAGCTGTTGAATGAGGTTGATTAAGGTTTGTAGTATTCCGTAGTGTTGAAGCAGTTGCCAAATTACTTGTCGTCGACGCTCTCGAATGCCTTTTCCTTCACGTAGGACTAATCTGCTTCGAAACTCAGATAGTTATATTTAAGAAAATGCGAATTTTTAAACTTGAGATGACTATGAATAAATGTTATAGTCTGCATGAAAATTTAGTATTATTGCTTGTATTACACCGTCGTTGATTGTACTGGACTGATCATTTTCTGTTGGTATATGGGCTCGTGTATGGATGCCTCAATATTGCCTGTGTTTTAATTATGTATAGTAAGGATGAAGCGATCGCTCCCGAGTCTGAGTCCCAGTGGGAACAACATCACTCACTGGGAGGCAGGTACATCCAGCTGATAAATCTCAAATAGGATGGAGTGTTCATCTTGGATTCCACTGCTAGGCACTGTCTATCATGACTGTGCATGAAGATTGCTTAGATTCTCATAAGAAACTCTAAATCCAATCATATTGACAGTGGAATTGAGTTATTATCATCATTCACATACATAACTTTAGTCATATCAATGAACTTAATGAATAATTATATATACTTTCATATTTCTGTAAGATTTTAGCAACAATTCAACAATGTGAAGTTATATAGTTACCGTGTAATCTGTATCACTTCTTACGTAAACTTTGTTTACCAATTTTATCATAGATATTCTTATGGAGGTTTCCCTCTCGTCACCTTATTACACAAACGTTGACCCGATCACAGGTAAATTTTCTTTAGATCTAGAATATGCAGATGACATAGTCCTGTTAGGTGAAGACGCTGACAAGATGCAGAGTCTTCTGAACACTTTGAGTGGGAATTTGAGAATGTTTGGGATGCGATTTTCACCACCCATATGCAAATGTTTGCTCCAGGATTGGTCTTCAGCGGTACCGCCGCTAACAATAGAGAGTGAAGTGGTTGAGTGTGTTGACCACTTCACTTACCTGGGAAGTAGGATCAACCCCGGTGGGTTAGTTGCCGATGAGATTTCTGCACGGATACAAAAGGCTCGATTGGCTTTTGCCAATTAACGCCACCTATGGCGCCGCCGTGATATTCGTTTGTCTATTAAGGGTCGCGTGTACTGCACAGCAGTCCGCTCTGTTCTACTATATGGCTGTGAAACATGGCCATTGAAAGTGGAGGATACAAAAAGGCTTCAGGTGTTTGACCACCGTTGTCTTCGTAATATAGGACGTATTCCGTGGTGTCAGCATGTGAGTAATGCAGAAGTTAGGTGTAGAGTTTTGGAGAGAAGAGGTAAGTCAGTCGACGAGGTTGTGAACCTTCATCGACTGAGATGGTTGGGATATGTGGTACTTACACCTGGTCACCGATTGCCTCGTCACACAATGTTGGCTGAGGTGGGTCCAGGCTGGAAAAAGGCCCGAGGTGGCCAGACTAAAACATAGCACCAATGTATGAAGTCTCTGACTGTTGGTTTAAGCAATATAGGACGATGCAGACTAGGTGGTTGGGGTCCACGGGACAAGAGGAACCAGTGGTTGGAGACCCTAGGTGATATGGCTCAGAACCGAAGTCAGTGGCTCAGATGTATACACACATTATCCTCATCTTAACAACGCTATGCCGAATCTCACCATTTTGTCACTCCTCTTTCCCTTCTTCTCGTACTTTATATTTCTTTTGACTGCATTCACTTATCTTCATCCTTCACCTCACTACCTTTTTACTTGATGTGTTGATATGAGGTGTGGCAACTCGGACCGTTACGCAGTAATGCCTGGTCCTATGTTGATAATGATGATGATGATAATTTGTTAACCAATAGGTAATCAAGGCATAGATTGTTGATAAGAATATTAGAGTCGAATTTTTATCTCCTGTTGGATATGTATATGATATGGTGTCTTGTCTTATGTTCCACCTATTGAATCATTACATAACATTCATTTCTGTTAGATAATTTCACCTCTTCAGTGCTTAATTCATCAAATAGATAAGTCATAGGAACTAATGGTTGACTGACTGATAAACACAGGTCAATATTTGACATAAAATCCTTACAAGATTTACAATCTTATTGTCAGCTGTTGTCTTATATTTACATATCCCTAAATTTAATTTAACAGTAACATAGATAACACCCATGATATTGAAGCTGTTTTTAGGATCAAATTAAATGTATTACTAATGATGGGCATTGTCTAGCAGTGGAATCTAGGATGCGCACTCTACCCGATTTGGGATTCGTCAGCTGGATGTACCTACCTACTAGTGAGTGATGTTGTTCCCACAAGGGATTCAAATTGAATGACTGATATATGTTCACAGCAATATGTCTTCATGCACTCGGTATTTGATCATTGTTTTTTTTTACTTCAGTTGATTGATTAGGCGTTTTTTAAGCTGTGATATTGAAACAGTAAGTGTCTGCATATGATATAAGTCCGTAGTGTATCTTATGGGTCTATTAAGATCCATAGTAGACTTTAGAAATATAACTCCTATTTATAACTTATCTTAATATTTGGCGATTGTACTAAGTTCAATTAGAAATCATTTTAAATCTAGACTAACTGACTCTTATATCTTGAAGCATAGATTAGATGACAATGAAAAGAAACGTTGGTTTCGACATAGTTAGTTTGTATGCTAAAATATAGATTGTCATAGCTGTGAAAACAGTCAGAAACAAGCTTAATAATGACCATGAGCTTAAACTATGAAATAAGGTACCAGTAGATGATATCATGCTTCGAGTACAGCTCTATCTAACCTCAACAAACTTTAGGTTTCAGAATGAAATATACAAACAACAGAAGAAGTTGTCTTGGTATCAGTAGTATCCCTTATTGTAGCTGACATATTTAAATATAGTATAATTGTTTTTATATCATACCGTCGTATTAATACAGTGCTTCGGTGTTTGAAGCGATCGCTCCCGAGTCCGAATCCCGGTGGGAACAATATCACTCACTAGGAAACAAGTACATCCAGCTGACGAGTCCTAAATAGGACGAAATATGCATCCTGGATTCCACTACTAGCCACGATTCATCATTTAATATTTAAAGATAGTTAGGAATGAATGGCCTTCAAAAAATATGATTTCAATATGTAGATGATACGTTTATAGTGTTTAAAATCGGATAGCATACATAATTTCTTCATCAATATAAATTCAGTAATCAACGCAGTTCCATTCATCTATGAAGAGGAATTAACAATGTTGGATTGCAGAATAAACCGGAAAAAAGAAGGATGTTTAGATACACTAGTGTCTACAGAAAACCTTCACACTCAAATGGTTACTTTCAATTCATCTCATCCTATATCACTTAAAATTAGCTTAGTAAAGTGTCTAAGCAATACGGCAAATGAACGTATTAATAATTATCCCCCTTAATCAATTGATAATTCCATTGATAATCGTAAGAAAACCATAACAAATATTAGTAACACAGTTATTCATAGAAGTAATAATAAGGGAAGCACCTCAGCAACATTATACACGATTTTGAATAAACCTGGGATTAGAGTGACATTCTAAACTATAATCTCACTTAGAAGAAAGCTTTGTTAGTTAAAAGATCCTATTGATTTAATAACAAGTTAGTTTACCAAATCTCTTGTAATGATTTCGAAGTCAACCACATAAATCAAACGTAGAGTATGCTACCATGAAATCAATTAGTCAATTCTCACAAACTTGTTAAAAGAACATTGAAGTCTTGCTTATTATTCAATAGTGATATCAGATGTACCTCTTCAATATGTTGAGCACAGAATAGCTATCTCTTCACTGTTTTTATTCAGAAAAAACAACAACTATGTATTAATTGGTCATGGGAGGACAACCAATTTCATGTTGTGTAGTCCTCTATGCAGACCCGAATCCAATCGATCATATTTACAATATGGCAACCAAGCTAGAAAGCTTAACATCGCGGTGCACATTATTATTATTATTGTTAGTCCCTTGGGTTCCTAGTGGAACATAGGGCTTCAGTAGCACGTCTCCAGTGAACTCTGTTCTCTGAGATCTTTTGAACCTGGTTCCACGACAGCCCACAACCTCTCATTTCCTCCTCGCACGACCTCCTCCATGTCACCCTCACCTCGGACACCCAAATCGTCGCTTCCCACGGGAATTCCACTCGAGCAACTGGCCTGACGCGTGATGTCCCCACTCGGCCTTCTCAGTGCATGGCCCATCCATCTCCACTTCCTCCTGCATATTTGGTGAGTGATAGGTTCTTGGTTGGTTCGTTCCCAGACCTCCTTGTTGCTTATTCTCACTATTCTGGCCATCTGATCTTCAGTAACGAGCCAGTGTAGGCAGTTGTTGATGAATGTCTGTAGTTTATTGGAAATCCCTTTCGTGACGCGCCAAGTCTCTCAACCATACAGAAGCACTGACTTGACTGGGTTGGTGTTGAAAATCCGTATCTTGTTCCACATTCTGAGTGCAGAAGATCTCCACACTGGTTTCAGGCTAATGAACACCTGTCTTGCTTTTCCGATTCTGACTTTGACGTCCTCGTCTGTGCCGCCTGTAGTTGAAACAGTGCTTCCTAGATAAGTGATGCACATTAGTAGATGTTAATTGGTTGAAGGCAATCGGCAGGAAGCCCTGCTCGACTGAGGTGTCGTGCTTTCTGACACTCGTTAGCAAGGCATATCTACAACCTCGACGGAACTGATGTCCCGCCTGAGATTTGAGCCTTCGTCGCCCACTGAGCTATTCGGGCCGCAATTGACCTCCTGTAGGATTGGCTTACATGTGTTGATTGGTTACGGGAGTCCAACAAATTTCATGTTGTCTAATCCTGAGTGCAGACTGAATTCTATCTATCATATTTGCAATGTGGTAACCAAGCTAAGAAGTTCAACATCGCGGTGCACATTAATAGATGTTTACTTAGTTGGAGGCAATCGGTAGGAAGCTCTAGACATCATTTCCGTCGAAATTGCAGATATGCCTTGCTGATGAGTATCAGAAAGCACGAAACCTAGGTTGAGCGGGTCTTTCTGTCGATTGCATCCAACCAACTAACAAAAAATAACTATAAGGTTATGACTTAGATATAATAATAATTATTATTCATTCTATATTTTTATTTATTTACCTTATAGGCTGGTACACCAGTTGATATTCGTGATCGTGAAGGTAGGACACCATTACAATTGGCAGCTTGGCAAGGTCATGCTGAAATATGTTATATATTATTAAATGAAGGAAATGCTCGTGTTGATGCAGTTTGTAGTCAAGGTGCAACTGCATTATGCATTGCTGCACAAGAAGGTCATTTTAATGTCTGTAAGGTATTACTTCAAGTAAGTGTTGTTTTAAACGAAAATAACAAAAACCTAGTGGTATGTAACAGTTTCAATTTTAAGGTTTTTACAGATTTTATTTATTCAACATAGGTTGATATTTCGCAAACCGCCACCCAATGTCATCGTTGAGTATCTATCCTCACGGCCATCAGGCTTTGACTCCACCGGTCACGACTTGTCATTGGAACTTCGGGAATACTTCTCGAAGCTAGTCACCAATAAGCATCAGTTCAATTAAATTTTTGAGGGGGTTTCTCCAACTGATGTCAGTCTTCGATGAATAACAACTTGAAATATTTCCAAATCTCCACAACCCCCTCAAAAAAATAGGTTGATATTTATCATAGACTGATATCAGTTTGTGGAATAGACAGTTGTTTTGTCCTAATGTGAGATTCCTCAGAAGTGAGTACCCATGAACCCATCAGAGATGAAATCTAAAGGATTCTAGTTCTGTGACCATCACATTAACATTGAGCCACTAGTTGGGAGTACAATAGTTTATAAATTCTACTTCTGAAAAATTCATGACATAGAGCAGCTATCATGTAAGGTCTTCAGTTGACATCCACTTCCCTTCCAACAGACTGTTAGTCCATGATGAATTTATTTTTACTATTATTATTTGTTCCTTGGATTCCTAGTAGAATATAGGGCTTCAGTAGCATGTCACCATTTCACTCACTCCTCTCCAGTCTTCAAAACCTAACTCAAACACTACCCATTACCTTCCATTTCTTCATCATGTCAAACCTCGTCTCGTCGCCAACGCCCAACTCGTCGTTTACCATCTGGATCCCACTCAACAACCTGGCCTGACGCGTGATGTCCACAAAACGTCTTCTCAATGTATGTCCAACCAACCCAACCCAATCCATCTCCACATTCCTCTTACGCTTACTTGTTGGCCAACAGGTTCTCGGTTGGTTGGTTCATTGCCAGCCACAGTGAGTTCCTCATTGCTTATTCTCATTACTCTGGCCATCTGATCTGATATTCAGTATCGAGTGAGGGTAGATGGTATGTGTTGATGATGTGTGTGTGCAGTCTGTTGGAAATGCTTTTGGTAAGGCGCCAAGTCTCTCAACCATCACATGGAAGCACTGACTGACTGACTTGACTCAATTAGTGTTGAAAATCTCGATCTTGTTCATGACTTGTGCTGAGTGCAGTGCAGTGCAGTGGAATTGAGTTGAGTTGAGTTGAGTTGAGTGGAGTAGATCTCCACACTGACTGATTTCAGATTAGTGTAGGGAGGCCTTTCTTGCTGTATTTCTGAAGGTGGCTTTGACATCCTAATCTATGTCTGTGTCACCTGTATTTGAGACGATGTTGCCTATGCAGGTAGGTTGGTAGGTAGGTAGGTAGGTGAAAGATAATTTGGTTTATATTTCTCCTGTCGACGGTGATTTGTGCTTATTGATGTTGTTGTTGTTGTTGTTGGTTGGGTATCTTCATCACGTCTGTCTTCTCTACGTCCACCTGAAGGAAGACCTGTCTTCCTTGGCTGCCCTGCCTCTCCTGCCAGCTTGTTAGTTTTCGTCTGTAGATCTTTGAGTCTGTGCGACAAGATATTACACATAGATGATCGGGGAAATCTAAATCCTCTAGGGTCTTTTCATTGGTGAATACTACCCTAAAATCAATATCCCCATTCACCTTTAAATTCATTACTGTATGGTGCTCATTAGTGACATGCTTCTAGATGAATATTTTGAAGTTTTAATGAGAACATGTGACCTCTTTAGCCATCCAGTTGGAAGAGAAGCTGATACCAGCAGAAGACCTTGGTTGTTGTAGTGAATTGACAGTAGTTGGTAACTGTGAAGTATTGAACATCTGAAGGGCTGGATGGTTGTCGCGTGGAATCTGAAGGTCCTGAGTTCCATGGGTGTTTTCATCTTTGTAGTCCCATGCTATACAGAAACAGCTGTCTAGTTCTCTCAGATTTTCAGAGGTCCTCCAAATGATGTCACTTCATGATGAATACTACCTTTTATGTTTAGTGTCTCAGGTGATCTTTTCGATTACAATTTTTTCAACTACTTATAAAGAATTCAGTAGTTTATCAATATCCAGAAATTAGAAACCATTCAAATGGTTTCTTTTCTTTTCTCTCTGTAGGCTAATGCAAATCCTTCACAGACTGATTCACATGGTCGTACACCATATCGTGTAGCTCTAAAGGCTGGACATTTAGAGATATGCAAATTACTGGAATTAAGTCAAACGGATTTTAGTAAGATGATGAATGGACAATTACAAAGCACCAATATTGATCTATATCAAAATAAACCAATCAGAGATTTGAAGACAAGACGGGATTCTGACAAAGTTTCACAATTTCTAGTATCATTACAACAGAAATATCCAGTGAATAGTAATATGCCAATTCTACAAGATACTCCTGTTAAGATGAATAGCAAAGAAATTCAGACAACAAGAACTGAAAATCTGGGTACAAATGTCTCACAACATCAGCCTGTTTATCTCTCAAAAGGTTGGTATTGTATCTACTAACTTCAGTTTTACAATTATGTTTTACTTATTCTTTTGATCTCGATAGCTTATTTTGTTGTTTAGACAACTATGAACAGTTATTTAAGGTTTCACTTCAATTTTTTGACTCAACTATAAATTTAAGGCCAGTCTTCACATCTATGAACTTTTCAAAACAAGCCTAGTGGATCAGTTTCCTTATCGAACAGGAAAAAATCCAAGGAACACTGCAGCTAATGTATTCTGTTAATGTCCCTTCAAGCTGACCAGTGTCATTCTAGAAGCGTCCGAATTGTTAGGCTTCAACGTAGTCAAATTAACCGGGTAATCGGTTCGTTGATCGTACTCACCTTCTCGTGGACAGGTGTGTGTAGGATATGTCTTGCTGTAGTCGCTGTAGCATTGCACACTCAAAAATAGCTCACCTTCCAGAAAAGACATTTTCTTCGAGACCAGATCCATGAATTCATAATATCAACAGGTTTACGGTGACGGTTCTCTTCGGGGAACTGACATACAAACCAAAGCTAGGGTTTACGACACAAGCTTTCAGAATTGAATGTGGGTCGCCTTCGCGAGATAAGACTACACTTGTCTCTGGGAATTGCTTGAACAAGAGGACCTACGAGAATTAAGGAGCTGTATTCACTTTATCACTCGGTTAAATTAGTTATGGTTGTACTTGATGAAATCCTGACGGCTCACTAAACCATCAATGCTTTCGAGATCCACACCAATTATCTTGCGCATATTGATCTCTTCGACAGTGGTTTTTGCTAAGTCAATTTGATGGCGTATTAGTTTATATCCGGTGGGGGCCACAAGGAGGCTCACTGACATATGAAGCTAGACTCTGATAGTAATTTCTTGAGCACAAAAATTCCCCAGTTTTCATCAGTTAACCGTACTATTTAGAGCTTCTTCAGACTGACACCCTGACACGTAATTATAAGGTGAAGCTAAGTGACCTCAGCAGAGAGAGAGTCATAGTTACTCCAACGTGACAAGGGAAAGAAACACAATATCCATAAGGATTTGATATGGGGAAATAAACAAACTGACTACAAATAAAAGTAGTTACGTCATAGGATAATTATATCAAGTGTTCGACCCTCTATGATAGCCATAGCAAAGAAGGAAATTGTGTACACATTTTTTGAAAGTATAGTGATGGTTTGAACTTTTGAGTCTGTATTGCTGCAGCTATACTCAGATGTCTTACTGTCACTCCTTCCAAGTGGCTAGAATTACAGAATTTTGTAGGAATTGTTAAAAGGAACCAAATTTTTCATGAAGCTGAAGATATATTTGCATTCTTATCTTGTCAGACAGATCGTGTAGTATTCGTGAATGCGTTGCATACACTAGCATAAAGTACAGTTGATGTACTTTGTTCCTTAAGAGTAAATAAACTAATATGTACACACTTATATGACCAAATACTCCAGATTTTCCCCTGTATAATGAACAATAAGACTTTTCAATTAAAAATTACCTGCTATCTTAAAAAGATAAACATTCAATATGCGTTTGAACATCTGGTTGATAATGATTTTTGTTACTTTGAGAACGTCTTCAATTCAGGTTGTCTAAGTAAAACAATGGAAGTACAAATCATGTGCAGACCAAATTGCAACGCTTCGTATCATCATAGAACAGAGCATAGAATGGCAATCAGCTCTCTGCCTCAACTTCATCGACTTTGAGAAGGCCTTTGACAGCGTCGACCGAGAAGTAATTTGGAAACTGCTTCAATACTACGGAGTACCGCAAACCTTTATCCACCTCATTCAACAACTATATGAAGATGCCACATGCCAAGTAATCCACAATGGGAAGCTCAGTGGTGATTTTGAAGTGAAGACAGGAGTGAAACAAGGTTGCCTACTATCCCCCATGATATTCCTTATTGTGGTGGACTGGATCATGCAGCAAACAGTAGGCAGCGAGAAGAGGGGGATACACTGGACGACGGAAAAGAACCTAGAAGACCTGGATTTCGCCGATGACTTATGCCTAATGTCACATAAACTTGAAGATCTGCAGGCAAAAACTAACAAGTTGATAGAAGAGGCAGCGAAGACGGGACTTCAGGTGAATATAGAGAAGACAGAGGTGATGAAGATAACGCACCACCACCATCAACAACAACAACAAACTCCAATCACCGTCAACGGGAGAAACTTGAAGGAAGTAACCTCCTTCACTTATCTAGGAAGCACTGTTTCAACTACAGGCGGCACAGACGAGGACGTCAAAGTCAGAATCGGAAAAGCAAGATAGGCGTTCATTAGCCTGAAACCAGTGTGGAGATCTTCTGCACTCAGCATGTGGAACAAGATACGGATTTTCAACACCAACCCAGTCAAGTCAGTGCTTCTGTATGGTTGAGAGACTTGGCGCGTCACGAAAGGGATTTCCAACAAACTACAGGCATTCATCAACAACTGCTTACGCTCGCTACTGAAGATCAGATGGCCAGAATCGTGAGAATAAGCAACAAGGAGGTCTGGGAACGAACCAACCAAGAACCTATCACTCACCAAATATGCAGGAGGAAGTGGAGATGGATTGGCCATGCACTGAGAAGGCCGACTGAGGACATCACGCGCCAGGCCAGTCACTCGAGTGGAATCCCCATGGGAAGCGACGAGTTGGACGTTGGAGATGAGGGTGACATGGAGGAGGTCGTGCGAGGAGGAAATGAGAGGTTGTGGGCTGTCGTGGAACCAGGTTCAAAAGATCTCAGAGAACAGAGTTCACTGGAGACGTGCTACTGAAGCCCTATGTTCCACTAGGAACCCAAGGGACTAATAATAAATAATAATAAGTAAAACAATAATTAAAAAAATTCAGCTTTAACATCAGAAATCTATACAAATTCTAATCATTGATACGGCCTAAATTTTTACGGAATTAGTTTTCTGTTAATTATGGTTTAGTTGATGATAAGAAAAAACATCCCATGATAAACATATTCCAATAATGTGACTATGAATACGGTTGTATCGTTTTAAAAGTCATCCCATTGCATTGGGTTTATGAAACTTCACATCTTACAAGTACTGAAAAGAATCTAAGTCGATGACGACCTGGATTGTCTGGTAGACCATGGATACAGTTTATGAGATTCATTGAATAAGTGTATTATGACAAACAATAAAATAAACAAGTATTTTACATCATTCAACAACATCTCCATCTATTTAACAAACAACATTCACGAATGTACTAAGCCTATGATATTCAACACTCACATACATAGATGAGACCTCAGTAACCACACAACTAAATGATTATATACAACAAAAACCAATATAATTTTTTCAAGTTGTTATTCATCGTAGACTGACATCAGTTGAAGGAACAAAGGAAACCTGGGAGCACTGGACAGCTGTTTCGTCCTAGTATGGGACTCCTCAACAGTGCGCACCCACAACCCCACACCAGCAGGAATCGAACCCGCGACCTTTTGATGAGAGATTTTCCAAAAATGGGTCAATAAACCTTATTCATCTTGAACAAAATTCATAAACCTATTCTTGTACTATCTATCTTATACACTTTATTCGGACACATAGTGATGAATTGAACTTGTAAATCACCACTACTTCACATACACACAAATATCATGATCTTACTCAATTCGAATAAATTGATCCAGTCATCTAGACGGTTTTGAAATAGTTCTGAAGAAGAGATGAATACTCTAATGTTCATAAGATGTTTTGCTATTCAGTTGAAGATATATTTGTACTGTGTCTTTGCTAGCGAGATTGTGTAGTATTGTCATGTTCATTTTACATGCTAGTCCATAAGACGGTAGATGTAGTCAGTTTCATGTGAGGGAGTAAACTTCTATAGGCGTAATGATGTGATTTATTGCATGATTTTGTCTTTTACATATTGATAAGAAAGTAATTTGGAGGTTAGCAGTGAAGTATGTTCTAATTAAGGAATAGGCTAGTCACTTCTTAAGAATGATTACAGCAATGTTTTTCCCGAATTCTAAATCTCAGTCGAAGAATCTTCTTCAATGTGTTAAGTGTTTGTTTCGTTATGCTACTTAACTTCAACTTAATTATGAATCTATGCGGGGAAATATTTTCTACTAGAATTCTTTGAAGGTGTTTCAGTACTCTATTAACGATGTCCTCTCTGATCCTTAAAGAAAACATGTGGATAAAATTCTTCTCCTTACTTAGAATGATTGATTGATTAAAATGAATTCATATTCTGTTCCACTTAGGCAATTAATGAATAGATCTTACAAAGTAAATTATCATCTTTCCTTTAGAGTTGAACATTAGGGAGATAAACGTTGAATTTCATTCTACTTCTAGATTGAAGTAGGTTTACGTGCAGAATTATGGAAATTACTAAGCAGTATTACAAGATTCACATTTTCAACATAAATGACTAAGGTTTCTTTAATGATTATGAATGTCTCTGTTTGTTGTTGATAAACTAGTGTTTTCTAGGCTTATGATTAAAACGGTCATTTAAGAGGGGGTCCCAGAGATGAACCTATTTGTATATTATCTATCTACCTGTAGATTGGACTGAATGAACGTTTCTAAAGAGGGACACAATATCCAATGAAATCATTCTTTCATCTGTCAAACTGACATTCTTATTGGTATCAATGAAAACAAATGTCTCATAGAGATTATAGTTTGACAATTTCTTCTTTACTGATTTACATTGGTTTACACAACCCACTTCTCGTTCGAATGATTAAGGAGTCAATTTTATACATTATTAAATGAAGTGGAATTAAGGCCATATATATTTTAAAAAGGTGGTGTAACCTTAGGATCGTTGAATCCGATCAGACATGAAGTTTATTGACCCTGTTTCAGGAATCGAACACACACTTCACTGCTAACCTCCAAATTACTTTCTTATCAATATGTAAAAGACAAAATCATGCAATAAATCACATCACTATACATATAGAAGTTTACTCCCTCACATGGAACTGACTACATCTACCGTCTT